TTTTAATATTATCCTCCCTTCTCCGTCTAGGTCTTCCTTTTGGCTTTCCCGCGAAAACCCTCTGTCTTTCGATTTTCCCCATGCGTGCTACATTCCCCGCCCATTTCATACTCTTTAACTTCATCATTTTAATTACGTTTGGTGAAGAGGACATGTCTGAAGTTGGCACAGCGTTGTTAACAAGTCTAGGACACACTTGCATATATACGTATAGCATTTATAATACCTACTTATGTACATAACTTTGTATGTGTACAGACACGCTATCTAGAAGGGCTCCAGTTGATGTGGTGCACTTCGTTTGACAAAATGAGGCTCTATCGGTCAGTACCATACTAGGAAGCCGGATAGCTGAGTCAGTATAATGACGCGCTACGAGCTGGAGGGCCAGAATTCGATTCCCGGCAGTGGCAAGAGACTTTTCTCTATTCCACAGCATCCATACCAACCCTGGAGCACACCCAGCCTCCTGTACAACGAGTACTGAGGGGCTGTTTCCCGGGTGTGAAGCTGACCACTTTCCTCCACCTAGTGTCGAGGTCAAGAATGGTGGAATTATACTTCAACGCGAAGTCTTCGTGACATTATTTAAGCCCAGGGGTAACTTTATCTCTATCTTAACTAGAGTAATGGAAGAGATTAAATTGAAAAAAAAAAATGCTTTCTGTATACAGTCTGCAAATGCTGGGAAATATGTTTCCTTTTTGATTCTTGATATAAAATATAAATATGAACCATTCGCAAAGAGGACTTCAAGCACTTATAAAATTTACTCGTGCATAGTTATGGTATGAGTTCAGAATGTGGAATGAACAACAAGCACTGAGACTGGCTGCCAGCCAAGGAGTGATCAGTGGCGCCTGTAGGGTGATATTCACAGAGGTCGTGACCTCAAATCACCGCGCGAGTGTTTGGGACGAGTTCAGGGGGGAGTCACACGTCATCTCCCTAAACTGCAGCCCACATTCAGCTGCCTAATCCCTCACGAAGTGGGCATGAGAAAATTTGTTGCGTGTCAAAATACTGTATCCCCGTGATTTTTCTTGGTATCGTTATTTTATTAGTCCAATAAAATACTTTTTTTCTGAACATTTCCCCATATGTTTGAATCCGAAGTACGATCACATTAAGGCTTTTTTTTTTTTTTGGAATGTGCCATGTCAGGCCCAGAAGGCATAATGAAAATACGAGATTACGAAGACAAAATGTAATCCTTATCTTACTTGTCAGTTGTATGTTGTTAAGAACGTCACTTAACCTAAATCGAATTTTGTTTTTATAAACTGTCTAGTATGTCAAATGCTCCCGTAGTTATCACTTTTGATACGTCAACGCTTAATTTCAACACATAACCAGTACACAAGTCAGACTCGCGGCTGTTTCTAATCAAAATTGTTAATATTCGTTTGTAATACAATTTTGAATGACTGGCGGGCTGTTATGAACGCAGTAATAAACTCAAAAGGGCGGTGTATTTCTTGACTTATTTAGCGGCATTCAGCTTTTGGAGAGAGATTATGCGCCATTGGGTTAATTATTTAATGTTAATCAATATCAAACTGACTTACAATTCGGTCCAGATTGCTGAAATTCTATAGTGTCATCAAAACGAACTCCTTTTTAAAGGATACGCTCCGGTACACGCACCGATAAGTAGCTGGCGGCTATAGCCAGACTTGTATACAGTTTCTGAAGGGTTGAATGCAGTATGTTAGAAATTATTAGTCATTAGTCTTCCGCCTTTGAGGAAGACATTTTATGTCAATATGTCCATGCGAATAATACCTTTTCTGATATCCTAATTCAGAACTGAATTAATTTTAAAATAGTTTGAAAATAGGTTGTGGGTTAATATATTTCTTATTGTCTCACTATATTTAAAGTTGTGGCACATACTTTCCTGCAACACATGTGCATAAAGATTGTCATGCACAAGACATGCAAGTGGCATACTTCCAATAATCACAAGTGCTTAATAACATTTGCGATAATGAATTAATTAATTAGGCAAGCTGCAAGCTCCCGTACTCAGTAGTACTGCTGTGCAAATATCTATAGGCAAAGTGTTTGCATAGAAGAAAGAAGAGGAATGAAGTTTTCATAGAAGTTGTTTCCTTAGGAATAATTTTATTACTTTCAAGTGCCAAAAGTCATGGGATAGCAGTATCTAAATTTATTTTTAAGTTGCGCCACTGTCCCTTGATGGCTTGGGAATGCCCAGAGCAGTATCAGTTGTGAGATGTTCTCTCGTGAGTAGGGGTTGAACACCGGCCAGTCTGCTCATGGCAAACCGACGTGAATTATCGGAATTTGAACGGGGCATGATAGTGGGTGCCAGGCGGATGGGACATTCCATTTCCGAAGTTGTGCGGTCATTCAACATTCCTCGATCCACGGTGTCACGTGTGTACCGGGAATACCTTGTGGAAGGCATTTCCACCCATCATGGACAGCGCAGTGGACAATCACGGGTGCTTAATGATCGTGACCAGCGGCGTCTAGCTAAAATTGTCCGTGGTAACAGACAAGCGACAATGGCTGAATTCACATCCACATTCAATGCAGGAGGTACCAGACGCATATCCAGCAGGTCAGTGCAGCGTTCTTTAGCTTCCATGGGATATGGGAGCAGAAGACCGACCAGAATGCCTCTGTTAACACCACGACACCGGACACAGCGCCTTACCTGGGCTGGTGACGTCGCTAATTGGACCCTGGAGGATTGGCAACATGTGGCGTGGTCCGATGAGTCACGGTACCAGTTGTTTCGGGCGGATGGTAGGGTTCGGGTGTGGCGTAGACCCCATGAGGCCATGGACCCCAGTTGTCAGCAAGGCACCGTGCAGGCTGGTGGTGGTTCCATACTGGTGTGGGGTGTGTCCTCGTGGCATGAGTTGTGTCCGCTTGTCCACCTAAACACGTCATTGACCGATGACCACTACGTTACACTGCTTGGTGACCATTTGCAGCCCTTCATGGATTTTATGTACTCCCACAACGATGGGACATTCCATCAGGACAACGCACCGTGTCATTGGGCCGGAGTTGTCCAGAATTGGTTCCAGGAGCATTCTGGAGAGTTCTGACGAATGGTGTGGCTACCACGTTCGCCTGACATGAACCCAATCAACTATTTATGGGACGTGGTGGAGAGGTCCATTCGCACCCAAAATCCTGCACCTACAAATTCCAGGGAGCTGTGGGCAGCTATCCAGATGGCATGGCTCAACATCTCTCCAGAGATCTTCCGTCCACTTGTGGAATCGATGCCACGTCGAGTTTCTACACTTCGCCGGGCTAGAGGGGGTCCTACATGATACTAGGTACCTATCCCATGACTTTTGGCACTTCAGTATATATATATATATATATATATATATATATATATATATCCTTCTCATTTATTGCCATTATTTACTTACATAGATCTCAGCTCTGTGACTTCTTTGTGGCAGATGCTTACTCCTCCTATATCCAGCATCTACTGTTAGGTTTCTTAACATACGTTGTTTTCTAAGGTGAAGATGTTAGCGTCCCATGCAACCCCCAAACTGGATGACCAGGGGCTATCTTTCAAATTGTATTACATGGGTGGCCCTACTATGAGCTCACACTCCTGCCAGAATAGCTTCTCATGTGATTGGTACATGTAAACCACAACACACAATAAGGTAGTAGCCATGGGAGGTTTCCATTATTTAGGTTATTAATTACCATTATGGTCAAGGAAAAATGAATTAATCGTAGTATGGGTACCTCTATATTTGCTCAGGAAATCATAATTGCCCATGTCAGAAACAACAGTTTGATTCTGAGAATGTACAATTTTTAGCTTTTGCAGTAATTGCCATTGATAGAGCTGTTATTACATTGTAAGTGCCAGTGTGATATGTTACTTAACTATTAGCATTTTAGGCTAAGAAGTGCATTTTCTCTGGTTATACCTGCACTTTCCTTTTGTTTGTCTTCTGTGCTCAAATTCATTACGTTTGCCTTGTCTTCACAAGCTTTGTGATGTGGTTTCAGTTATTGAAATGCTATTGTGATGCTCATGTTTACAGAGAAAGCAATAAATTTTGGGCAGAGCTCATAAATACTTTTTTCTTATTGCACAATCTTCCAGTCCTGCAAATCTTACATACTTTAAGTCCTAATCCAACGGTAAAATTCAGTTTAATTAATGGGATACAGAGACATGCAGGCAGCATGGTGATCTCATAAAACCACTTTTGTATTTTTCTCTAATAAAAATTAATAGTAGGTTCTAAGGTTGATCAGAGTTTTCAAGCCCCAATTTTTAAAGAGCTTTCACATTTGTTGAAACACAGTTTTAAACGTTATTTTCTCACAACACTTCTTGTGCTGGAGAAATGACTGCCTGATAATAGTGATGTTTTTTTTACATTATTGCTAGAAAGATATTAGCTTCTTTTAAGATATGTGCACATTAGCCGTGCATACCCAGATAATTCATATCACTGTTAAAACTAGAAACGTAACATGTCTATCCTCTGAAGGACTTATATCCATTGATGTTACTTGAAGGTCATTATTTGCCATTAGGCATGATATGGATGTGTTGCACATAACCTGTGCACTTGAAATAAAATCATAACATAAGTAGTTTTGGATCTTTATTTATCAAGAATACAACATTGATGGAACTATAAATTATTATACAAATGAATACACAAAAAAGAACAAAATTACATGCTAGTCAGGCTACCACAGAATATTGATACTGCCTACAGAGTTACCAGCCTTGTAAGAGACTTTGATTCACTTACAGAGACTGGTTGAAACTGGATTCATCATACAAATAATTATTCAGTGTCAAAGTACATATACTTTAACTCTTCCTGCTTTCAGGAATATATTTAATTATATTTTATTTACATGCAACTTTACAGTTTCATATCCCTTTACATATACTCCTATATCACTTTTAGTAAAGGATATATTACAGTACATGCATGTAGTGACATTGTTCTTCTGTACAGCTCTTTGCCTGAATCTGTATTTGCTGGACTTGGACGTACAGAGTACCTGAGCTTGGCTGACAACTCTCTCCCTGATGTTCCTCATCATATTCTGAGGCAGATGCCTGTACTCAAGACACTCGATATTAGTCGCTGTAGGCTCCAAGCAATCAGTGACATGGATTTCCAGGTGAGTACAAAAGTCATCAGGGGATGTCTCTGTGTCCATGGCCTCTGAGTGCATGGTAACCAAAATTTGTTTTCATATTTTTGCAGAATATTCCCGACTTACAACATCTAGTCCTAGCAGGGAATAACATATCTCAGTTAGATCAGTCTTCCTTGCCACGTACAATTCGACATCTGCATCTTGGACGTAACAATATCACACACTTGAATGGCACACTCAGGTAACTATATCAGCATTGTAAGGAGCTATTATATTAGATGTAATAAACATTACATGCATTACATCTCATGTATTATCTTGTAGAATAGCTAATTAACTCCATAATATTCTTTGAGTAATTGGTAATTATTCATTTGATAAAAAAGAAAATCCCTGTTAACATGAATCTAAAAGGTTAAGTACCATCACTACAACTGGGATTTGTAGTGGACAAAGTGGCACTGGGGCAGGTTTACTCTGAGTACTTCGGGTTCACCTGCCAATCTTCATTCCACCAATTGTTCCACAGTCACCATCATCTATCATCTGGGGATGGTACAATAGGCCAATAGTGGCTGCAGTACCAAGTATACTCAGTATCACTCATCATTACAAATGTCTGCACTGGACTCAATAGTCCTTTCCAGTATTTTCTTCAGCATTATTAAAATCAGTTGTTGACAAAATTAAAAAATCTACCTTTGTTTCATAAGGTATTTCTTAAATGAAGTAATCTGCTGTCAGTCATACATAAATCTCTCTCATCATGATCAACAAACATAATTAATTATTACAGGGGTCTGACTGACCTGGAATGGTTGTTTCTAAATGGAAACCATCTCACAACACTTGATGAACAACTTCCCCAAGAAGGAAATAAATTGGCTCTGCTCCATGCTGGTAACAACAAACTGCAGAAATTGCCACAAGAACTACGGAACTTCATCATTCTTGACTCACTTTTCTTCCAGCACAATCAGTTGCTGAATCTGGGAGGAACCATACAGAGGGCAAGGAAGCTGAAACGACTCCATCTTAACAATAATAAGATCCAGGAAGTGAGTATATTTGTTGGTTTGCAGAGCTGTTTAATGCATGGTTTATTTGATAACATTCCTGAACTGCAATTAGTTGTTCAGCATCAAATGGAAGGACAAATGTGAACAGTGTACTGTAAGGTTTGTGCAAAGAAATGGGTATTGCTATATTCCAGCACATACCTGAAAGAACTGAAAAGAACCACAAACTCCTCAGTAAGTATAGCCAGTCACAATGTTAAGATTTAAATCTATAACCTACCAACTAAGAAATAATAATCAGCCTGTGTTCGATTCCTGGCAGTGCAAGATGTTTGTCTTCTTCACAGCGTCCAGACAGACTCTGGGGCTTACCCAGCCTCCTATCCAATGGGTACCAGGGTCTTTCCCCAGGGGTAAGACAGCAGGAGCGAAAAGCTAACCAGAGATCAAGAATGGTGGAACTATACCTCCACTTCTCATAGGTCTTCATGGCATAGTGCATAACTAATTGAGCACAGGGACAACTTTACCTTTACCCATCTTCTTAGTATACATGTTAATTTCTTTGGGAATCCTATCAGAACTTGTTCATTCAGCATGTTCTTTCAGCTTTCTTGTATAATATCATAAAATCATTTATTTTTTTTTGCAAAATTTTCAATGGGCTTATTATTTCTTCATTTCTCTCATGCCCAAAACATACACCTTATCACCTGTCTATCTTGTAAAATCAATCCAACTTGTTGTCCACACTTTGTTCTCATACCATATTACCCTCTTCATAGACTATTGTTAACCTCTCATGTTTTCAGAACAGCACTATTATACTGGCATCAAAATTTTCAACAATCTACCATCTAGTCTCAAAAATCTTGTAAAGGAAAAGACACAGTTTAAAATAGCACTAAATTGATATTTACATACACACTCACTCTACTGTTTTAATGAATTCCTGCAGCATAAAAATGACTCATCCTTTTCAAGGGTCATGTAAATAGCACATGTTGACAATATTGATACATATGCCTGGATGTATTTTTTAATATCTTATGTATAACCTCTGTGTATTTTTATGTTACAGCTTTGGGTGTACTGTATGTTTTTGTGTTTTTATGATTTATTCCACGGTAAAAAAGTAAAGCTATCCCTGTAACAGGCCGTGAAGGCCCATAAGGTTGTGAGATGTTAAGGGTCCCACATTATCCAGACAGTCGGCTCAAAGATGGTGGTAAGGTTGTCAGCCTTACGCGCCGGCCACACTTCACTCTCCAGGAAAACCATTTAATTAATTCCTGGTACTCATTTCTGTTAGATGCTGAGTACACCCCAGGGCCTAGTGTGGCCAGAAGGATTAGGTCAATTAAAAAAAATCCAATGACCCCATTGGGACTGGAACCCGTGACCTTCCGGCTTGTAGCATAGTACCTTAACCACCATGCTACCGTGTACCCCCAATTTATTACATATCATACAGTTAATTATTATTAATTATGGATCCATGTAATATATGTAAAAAAATATGTTTTATAAAGTTTTATACTTGTGGATCTTGAAACAGATGATGGTAAAAAATTTGGTTTATTAAATTCAGGTTTTTGATACAAATAACTGTTTTTGACATGTGTACCTTTCTGTACTCTAGACAGCAAATTACGTGCAAGCTACTTAAAAGTATTGTAACCAAAGAAGATCCTGTCTGAATTGTAGTGACTGAATTTGCAAGGTTTGATGAAAGGGGAAGCAGACTGGAGACTGTATTAGGGACTGCCATTAATAAATTCTAAAGTGTTCTAAGTTTATTCATTTGTCCCTCATTTCTAGTCTGAAAAAATAATTTCAGAAACTGGACCCATTTCAATCCACAGATGAAAGAGCAAGGAAGCGCCTACTCAATGTTTTCTAATTTACCCATTAGACTAGGTACCCTCCAGCATTCCAGCCACCTGAGAATGGAAACAGATCCAGTTTCCAGAATATTGCATTCTTTCAAAATACAAGATGGCCAGACAAATAACAGAAACACAGTAATCCTAGATGGCCTTTATTGTTTGCCAGGAGACATAGAAGTCACTACTTTAGAGAGCCGTCTCTGTGTATAAAATGCATAGCTGTTTAAACTCCACATGTATTTTTCCTTCAATTTGTGTGTTAAAATTTGTAGTGTTAATATGTGTATCCATAACCTTATGTTAACCATGAATTCATTTTCCAACTTGTGTACCCTAAGATTAATCTACTACTGTGACCAGAATGATTTTGCCTAGAGTATTCCCTTGTTCCAGTATATTGTTGTGAATAAAACTTTCACTTCTAACTGGTTCTGCCATAAGTTTTGCTTTCTCTGGGTTTCTTTCCAAACAAAGGGGGAAATGTGTGTAAAAGTGAAACGTGTGATTTGTGTCAGTGTGCTTCTGGTATTACAGTTTAACCTTATTACTTGTGTTTAATATTCCATGTCTTTGCAATTGCTTGTTTACAGCTATCATCAGATGAATTTGCCGAATTAGATTCCTTAGAAGACCTCCAGCTTGGACACAACGAGTTGATATCACTGAATGGATCTCTTGCACCACTGCGCTCCCTGCGCTGTCTGAATCTCACCAACAATCTCCTTCAGGAGTTCTCTTTACGTGAAATTCAAGGCTTGAGAAGACTTAGGATAATTGACCTCTCCTACAACAAGGTTTCTCACCTCAGTGGGCGAATGGAGGTATAGCTCTTAATTTTGAAACCATCTTCTACTTTGGTTCTGTAATTTTAATTTCAGTTCATCATTAACAAGCAAACAAAAGAGTTAAATCTATGCTTTCTATTATACATTACAGATATGTTAGTAAAAAATAGGATTATGCTTTCTATTGTCATAATTATTATTATGACAATTATTAAGAGATCTAAAGCTAAAAGTACAATAGTTATGTGTGACTGTCATCATGTTAACAAAATCAAATCAAATTTCAAGTTATCAATATAACATACTAGTAGTAGCATTTCCTTCTCACCCATCTCACCCATCTTCAAGAATCCTGTTTATACCTGTAAAATAAGGATGAATAACATGAAGGCATTATGGTATTAAAAACTTTAAGAGATGCAGCTTGCATTCTACCCAGAAGCGTAATTGTTACATTGTTGGTGTGCATAAATGCTACAGCCATATTCATATTACTATTTTTCATCAGATTGCTTTTTTCAGCTGATAGTTGTATATAGAAGTAAAGGTATCCCTGTAACAGGCAATGAAGGCCCATAGGGTTGTGAGATATCAAAGCTCCCACATTTTGTCCAGACAATTGGCTCATAGATAGTGGTAAGGTTGACCGCCTTTCACACTAGCCGCCTTTTACGCCCCAGGAAGATTCCTAGTACTCATTTTTCTTAGAAGCTGAGTTGACCCCAGGGCCATCTTGCGGCTGGAAGGATTCAGTAAATTGAAAAATCCACCTCATTGGGACTTGAATCGATGACCTTCCAGCTTGTAGCATAGTGCCTCAACTGACTATGCTACCGTGTGCCCCTGATAGCTGTATATAAGTAGAGTAAACAGATAAATCTAAATTCACCATTCAGTAAGTATTTTCAGCATATGCATGGTGAGACTAAGGAACTCCCAGAAAGCCTTGCAAGAGACAGGTGAACCTAGAACGAAATTCACAAACCTTCAAATACAAATTAGATATATTACTGTATTCCAATTATTATATTCCTGTTCTAATTATGTATATAACTGCTGAATAAATCTAGAACTTCACACTTACTACGTACCTGACATCATTCTCAGTTATTCATTGTAAAGAGTCTGAAACCACTTGGATTTATAAAATGCTATTAACATGTTCCAGAATTTGGTGGAGCCAGAAACCCGGATTGTAGAATTACGTCTGGACCATAATCGTCTCCAAAATTTGGATGGAGCCTTGATGGGAGTTCATGGCCTTCAGAAGCTGAACCTCAGCAACAATCTTCTGGAAAAAATTGCTCCAGATGACTTGATTGGTTTGGAGGACCTTCGTATTCTTGATGTATCCTTCAATCGCCTGACAACACTAGAAGAAACTTCAAAGGTACAACTTCAGAATACAAACTATGCCTATGTTACTGGTTAACACTAGCAGATACAAGACTGACATTTATTTATAATAATTAGAGCAATCACACATTCTGGCTTATATAAAATTTTCATACAGTCCTAGCTTTCAGAAATGTGAGTTCTTAATGCATGAATACTCAATACATTTACCATGGAACCAATTCCAAGCAGTCTACACCTTAGTGTGCTCAAAATTAATTCCTGGTATGTTCACAAACAAAGGATACTCTTACTCTTATATCTAATGCTGTAGTTAACAAAGCATGTCATTGGCATAGTATGATAACTGCCCCTGGACAGTTTTCAACACAGTGCTAAGTTTGAACTTGTAAAAAAAGTTCAATACATATCAGGTTACCCTATCTTGTTACTTTGTCAAGAATATGGGAATTCCTTATTTCTTACAACATTTGTGAAGAATGAGATTTGTGGCAGGTTTAGTAGAGATTAGGTAATTAATATATATATATATATATATATGTAAACAACTACACTGATATTATGAATTGTCTCAGACATTTCTACCATCACTGGAGCAACTGTATGCATCTCACAATTCTCTGACTGCACTGAAGCAAGATTTCCATGGATTGCCCACCCTCTGCTGGGCTGATCTGTCACACAACCAAATCCACACAGTTGGGCGTGACCTTGCATCTAAGACACGCTGCAGAATGCACAGGATTCTGGGCATACTGCGAGTCTACCTGACAGGTAAGCATATTTTGAACTGGTATAAAAATTCTTATGCTTCAGCCTATAACCACACTGTAATAAACCTATCACATCAAAAGTACTTTAAGTATAGTCATTTTCAAACCTTTTTACTTTAGGAAAATTTAAAATTAAAATTACTGACTGCTGCACTATATTTATCATTTCATCTATGTATAATTTTGTTGCTTTTTCACATTTGCTGTCATCAATAACAATTTTGGGCTCATGTACCAACAGAAAGAACGCATTTCTCGGTCACTCTGTCAGTCTGTCATGTCTTTCTGAATGACGTAAACACCAGACTGCTTGATTAAATATAACGTGAAGGAAGGTCAATTGCCTTAAAAAATGACTATAATATTATTTTGGTCTCTTCATTGTTGGATTTTAAAAGTAAATTCTAAGTCAGTTTATATTTTATGACATGTAATCATTTTCATGTAATGAGTTGTGTGTGAGAAACTGCATAATATTTTGTTTGAGCTCTTTGTTAAACATTAAATAAAATGGTATAATGAGAAATTAATATATATATATATATTCACCAAATATTAGTAGGATGATCAAATTGAGAAGGATGAAATGGATAAGGCATATGGCATGCATGGTACATGATAAGTTTATACAAAATTTTAGTCCAAGAACATGATAGGAAGAAACCATTTGGGAGACAAAAGCTAAGGAAGGGGATGATATTAAAATGGATCTTGTAAGAAAAGAGTATGAGGATGTGGTCTGATTTTACTGGTGTTAGAATAATGTCCAGCAAAAGACCCTTGGGCATGTGCTAATGAACCCTGCCATCTATAGGAGGCAAGGAACTTTGGACTGGGTGAATGACTATTAACATCTAAATAGAGACTCTGCTTCCTGGCATTGGTATGTAATGGATTATAGTGGACATATAAAGACCAAAATTAAAGATACTTAGATAACACATACCAAATTGTCTTGTAAGTGATTTGGAAAGTAAAAAATGGAAGAATAGACAGAACTTCCTCATTTTAGTCACTTACATACTTCATACAAAGAATGTTTAAGAATATGAAGCTCCCTTGTTGCACTTAAGTTGAGTCATGGTCTGTAACAGGAAATCCAGTGCTGTGTGATGCCCAGCTTGTGGAAACGATTGCTGAAATGGAAGCCAACCATACCAAGTTACATGGACTAGGACACTGCCTGTCTGTAAACCATACTGCATCAACAACATCTCCTTCTGCTTAGAGAGAAAATGGCACAGTAATACCATTCCTACAGCAAGTAACTGCCCACCAGGCAGCTGAATACAAATTTAATTTAGCTTATAACACAATAAACGAGCTATTGAATTGAAGTTCACACTTTTAAACCATTTAATTTTCATTCAAAGCTTATATTTTTCTGTGCATGGGTTCTACACACCAGTCATAATGCATTCCAATCAGTACATCAGTAACATGTGATATTGATACAACACAGAGGAAAATAAATAAGAATATTGTGAAATTATGTGATGTCTTAATTGATATAACTAAAGTAATTTGATTGTATATGAGTAAAAAAAGGAGAAACATAATATTTACCAACAAAATATAACTCTGTGTGGCATATGTCTCTAAGAAATTCAACATCATTGCCTTTATCACTGGTCTGGAGTGGAAATGAATATTACAGTTTATTATTACAGATTCATTTTAATTGAAGTTCTTTGTATAATAATAATGCCAATAATAGAATGTTAGCCCTTTCTAACCTAGACATTTTAGAAAGTTTTAGAGCTAGCATAATTATGAGTAATTGAATTTTCATGAAATACTTATTGTATTCATAATGAAAGTTCAAAGCACTAACAGATAATATATTTTGATACCATACTGTAAAAGGCCAGATAGAGTACCATCTAGTACTCAGTTAAACTTACAGGTGTGCAAAATGAAAATTACTGAATTGCTCGTTGGAAAACAATTCTGCAGTAACAAATACAAAGAAGATTGAAATGATGAAGGCCCTTTTGTTTGGTTACTGTTAACCTTGTATACCGTCTTATGTGCAGATGAATATATATATTTGCTGCTTTTAAGTGAGGAGTCCTATCCCTCCAGCTCACCAAAAGCAAAATGGCATCAAAGTCGGTGTCAAAGCAGTGCTGTGGGATCTGCATGTCAATAGGTGATTGTAGACTGTTCATGTTTAACTCAGTGCATCACATACCAAGCAGGTTGACAGCTCACATGCACGGGACTTGTTTTCAACAAGTATCTTATTCATGTCTTTGACAGTTATTTTACGTTTATCTTCTGTGATATTACTTTCATATAGTCTATGACTGCTTCCTCCCTAATCCTCTTCCATTCATCATACATAATTATTTTCTCATGTGATTGTATGTGACATAACATCTGCAGATGATACAGGATTCTTAAATAATCTATTAACTAGCCATCAGCACTTTATATTTCAGTCTTCTGTTTCTGCTGGGTGAGAATCTTAATTGTTTGGTCTTTTATCATATGGTAATTATTTTCAAGTTATACCGCTTTGTCTCCTGTCCACATCTTCACCAGTATAATATGAAGCCTGTAATAGAGGTTTATGTGCTCAGCCATCCGTCCTTCTTGACAAAATGTTGTCAGGACCAGAGAATTGTCGATGAAGAGAACAGCATTTATGTCAGAAGCATAGTATATTGTTGACTCGATGTGATAAAATATAGTTTTATGCCTCATCCTCCTAAATAAGTCATATATTACTGGCTACTGTGCTCACCATCAAAATTGTGTTTGTTTTATAATACCATTTCTACTTTATGTCTCTTTATATTTGCTGTGAAATAATGGATACCATGAAGTCATGGTTAGATTTTCAGTGGTGCATATTTGGTCAAATTGCACTAACAGTAGTATCTACTTTTGAACAGGAGCAATATTAAATTGCTATATTTCTTCTAGCATAATTAAAAACATCCTACTGCCTGTTGCATTGTATTGATGTTCCAAGCATTTACGTTTGTGGAGAGGACACATTCAATTTTAGACATTATTCTCTTGTCCTTAAGCAGAAACTATGAAACCAAGGAACAAGAAGTTATTCTTTAAATTAGATACATAATGTCTTTTTGGTCTTATGGAATAATTAGTAACGCCTTTTTGTGGAAGTAAAAAATTTTTACTTAACTATTTATTCTCTCCCAATCTTCTGAACGTAATGAGTACCATTTTGCTTGACTCTTTGCATCCCTATGTGAATATTCCACTATACTGGTTGACATGTGGAATATTATTTATAAAAAAAAAAGGAGAATATTGGGAAAACTTGGAGGGGAGAAAAAAGAACTGTATGACAATCTCTGACTTTTCTAACCAAGTCAGGGTCATCTGTTACACCCACACTCTTGCCTTTCATGTCACCCATTCTGAATCAGTGTTTCTGTAAGCAGAATATATCACACATAATTAGGATATGTGCACATTTTAGAATAAGATCATATAAGAGGTAATTAAAGGTATGGTGTAACATTACATGTTAAGTGACATTAAATTTTTGTATGTCATTGTTTATGGCATATACATGTCAAATGTTATAGTAACTCCTGTCAAGATTTCTTCTTGTGCCTAATTCAATGTATGTAATTCCTGAGTTTCAACCACAGATGAGTAAAGTGCTCAACAACTGGACAATGTTAATGAAATTTTTCTGCCTTCTGAGCATTGATATATATTTATATGGTCACTACATTCATTGAGCCTCAACAGTTTAACCACTTTTGCTACTGATATTTATGGATTCTTTTCTGCATGAGATAGTGTTGATTTAGTGCCTGTAATAGTACACTTGAATCCATTTCATTAATGGAATGTTCATTTAGTGGAAATTGTAAGCATACCCCCATGCTAAAGGACCCAACTGATCAGTAGCTGTGCCAGTACCATAGTTCTATTTTATAAATATTTTAAAATCAGAAATTTCTTATATATACAATGCAATAATATTGGTAACATTAAAAAAGTATAATAAAGTATGATACATATTGTTGTGTATATAAGTAAATAGAGTAAGATGTGACAATTTGTTTTGGACATAGTACAGAAAATACAATATTATTCCAGAATTGTGTTAAAATAAAGATGATAAAATATATGTCATTCTATCTAACCTGTAAATAATTTGTGAGAAATATTGTGTATCAGAATATATTTCTGACTAACACCATCTGTCATTTTCAGTGTAATTTTTAAACTGTTAACAAAAATTGTTAAATTGTAAATTGTACAACCTTTAAATTTGAGGGAAATTCTCCACTGTTGGATGTCAATTGCATATACAATTTCTCAGAGTTTGTTACAAAATAAATAACAGTGTAATTATTGCATAGTGGCTCAAATTGAATAGATAATAATGAATATCATAGGCCTGTCTTCACTGTTATTGAGCATACAGATTATATCTGAACACACATAGTTCTCTCAAGCCACTCATGTTAGTTCTTTGCATTACAAGAATTAGTTAATCTCATTATAGTGCAAATGATAAACTGATATAGTAGATTATTTCTGTTATGTCTGGATGAAAAGCCAATTATGTTTAGTTTCCTCACTTCTTTTCCTTCATCTCATAGATGCTCACACTCAGTACGATGTTAAAGAGCATCAGAAGTCATGCATTTATCAGGATCAGAGATCGACTTTAAAGCAGAGGTGAAGATCAAAAACGTTTTCATTAGAATGCTGAAGAGAATAAGGTAACAACTCAAATTTATTGCCACATCCTTTCATTATAAGCATACATCAACACTGAAGAGAACTATCTTGTGGGACATTACCTAATCGTTTTGGAGGAATGCACTGCCTCTACTTGCAGGTTCAAAGAGTAAGCCAAGCAAGCAGCCAGCAGGGAACAGGAAGTAATCACAGTGTCATATGCCAGAAGACAGTATTCTTCTAAATCATTTCTTTGACAACCTCATATCCAAAATATGTTGATACTATTTTTATGAATAGATACACCATACATAATGCAAATACAAGCCTGTTACACTAAAGAGAATTAAATGTTGTAAAATCTCTTTTTCATCATCTACACACACTTTAATCCATAAGGATTTGTTCCAACATCAGGGAGAAAATCCAGAGTGGAAGGATGTACTCGAAATTGGAGTACACAGTTTCCAAATGCATGCATCACAATTTGTTTTTATTTCTGTACATAAAAGTGACAAGTAATTAAATTCGGTTTTCAGGCAAAAAAATCCTACAACTAGAAGTCCACATACTTCTGAGTGTGAACTCACTGAAAAAGGACAAGTGGCCAAGAAATGAAGGTAAATACAATGGAGGAAGGAGAAGTCAATGACATAGCTGGGGAAGAAGTGATGGAAGACATGAACTACATAAGTTAAAGAAGAAGGTTATCAAACCAAAGAAGATGGCTGCAGGAGAAACAGGACATGAATTATCATCAGAAGAGGAACTGAGGGCACAATTTAGTACTGGAAGAAACTGTAAAACCAAAGAAAGCTTCAAATGATGGCATAAAGCAGAGTAGTAATAAAAACCAAAATTTCAATGTCACAGAATCATAACCAAGTCAAGGAGAGAATAGAATTAGGGTTAATTCAACAGGTAAAGTCTGGAGCACAAAGATTGGGAAATGAAGTTACAAATAAGTCTGGCAGCTGCTATGATAAGACTAGCTAGAATGGAAGGGAAGACATGGAAGAACGTTTCTAGAGCAACAAAAAAGGAAAATATAATGACGTATGTTTCAAAATTTAAGACAAGAGCCATTCAACATTCATCTAAAAGTCAAGAGGACTAATACCCCATTAATGGAATAAAAAAGGGGTAGAAGTGAGGCCAGTCTCATATCTTCAATGTTATGGCTAAATCCGAGATCAGTTTCCGATCCATTAGACCAGTGTGGTCCAACCCACGGCCCTCTTATTCATTTTGTTGGCACTCGCCCTTCTCACTGGATAAAAAATATTAATTAAACATTTGGACAAAATTGTACACCCTTCTTACTGTTTTAAGTTTAAATAACAGTAAACAGAATTAATCGTATTTGTAAAATTCAAGGAAATGCCATCAGCAGTGTTGGCAACATCAATTCAGGACAGAGTGACCAATGCTAAACATTATTTTCTTCCCGCTGCCCTTCAGGGCATTCAAAAAGTAGCGGGACACCGTTGACATTGGCAATGCTGCCCATCAGATGGCAGTACCTTACAATCTTAATTTCTTCTATAACGGTCTCCTCGATAATAAGCATAATAAGCTTCATTCTTCGACCGTTATAATCTGTGGCGTGCATGCTGCGATTTTCGCTAGTGACATACACGGCGGATTTTTCCGTGGCGGAGAGTTTACCGTCGCCACCGATCCAACAGTAGCCCACTGAAGTAAATTACAGCTCATACAGCTCATACATTAGACGGAAAAAAAAAACGATCGGTCAATTTGTCGTCAGCGGTAGCTGTGCTGCCCTCGGGTGCCACTGTACGCTGACGGAAGTTTTGCCGTCGGGGTCTTTAAAAAACAGAAACCTTCAAGTACTGGCGCACGTGACTAAATGCACGTTTACACACTTGGCTGTTTTCCTCCCGCTTAGTTAATTTCTCAGTGTGAGTTGAACTGAACTTCGTGTTCACAGTTTTCAATCAATATTATATTCGTATCAATAATAGTTTTTAGTGAACATGAGCGAGATTATTGATAATGAAATTCTAATTTCGTTAATACAAGAGAGGCCTGTTTTGTGGGATAAAACCCTCGAAATTTTCAAGGATAGACACGCTACCATAAACGCTTGGCATGAAGTTTGCCTTGGATTTCGAAGCGACTTCGATCAGATGGAAGAAAGAGAGAGAAATGATTTTGGTAAGTCCATATTTTCTCACATATAAGTACTAGAAAGTGTAGGGGTCGTAAAAAAGTTCTTTACTCGCATTGCCATTCATTTGTTTTTAAATTTAGACAACCATGGTAGGCTATTAGTAACAAATGTTTCATTTGTAAAATCAGGGCCGCCGAGTGATGGTGGAAAGGTTTTGCCTTGATGAAAAATTATGACAAGAAAAAAGTTTTAAGGTTTTCTTTTAATTTATTAGCATATTTACAATCTAAACAGCAACAGAGTAAATAAGTAAATGGTTGGACTTCGTTTTAGCCTGTAGTGATTACCATTCACTGATGGTATCCTTATATCTTTGACATCTGCCAGGGAACCATTCCTACACTTGAAACAAAATATCTACATAGAATATTTCTCACATTGTTTGCTATGAGGCTTCCTCTTGTAGTGTTTTCTCCTCGAATTTCTTCCATTCCTACAATTGACGTTGCATCCTCAACTATGTAACCATCTCTATCCCTAACATAACTATGAAGAAGAATGCAGGCTTTAACAATATCATTAGCAAATTGGGGTTGAACATTAAAGGGTCGATGGCATATTCTCCATTTGTTGCTGAGGATACCGAAAGCACATTCTATGTACCTTCTTGCTCGGCACAGTCGATTCTCTTTTCGACTGTTAAATGTTTCCCAGCATAAGGCCTTAGCAAATGCTTGTGTAGCCCGAATGCTGCATCACCAACAAAAAAATGTGGCACTTTCAGACTTTCCGTGCCTGGTAGGCACTTCTCATGAGGTAGATGCTTTGAACTGCTTTCTATTGATTTCCATAGCTGAGTCTGTTTAAAAACCGACGAGTCACAGGCCTTACCATAACTACCAACATGTACAAAAACAAATCGGTACTTACTCTGTGCAATGCCCATTAACACAATTGAATAGTAGTCTTTATAATTATAGTACATAGATCCACTTTCTCTTGGACGCACTATGCGGACGTGTTTCCCATCTACTGCCCCTATACAATGGGGAAAGTTTGCTGTATGTTCAAATCCATTTGCTACTGATTCCCACATTTCTTTTGTAAGGGGAGGTATGCACTCACTTTGCATAACCTTCCACACTGCTTGACAAACATCTCTAACTATCACCCTTGCTGTTGAGATCCCTACTCTGAAGGAATAATGAAGGTCGGTGAAAGTACATCCACTTGCTGGGTATCTGAAAAAACAAAAAAAAAAAATATATTTTTTACAAATGGTACATAATGTTTTAATTTTTAGGTAAGGAAATGATGAAATGATGGAAACATCTACGTGACGCCTTCGTCAAGACTGAAAAGAATGCTAAAGAAAGCAAAACTAGTGGCTCACAAGCTACCAAAAAAAGAAAATACATATTCAATGACAAACTTCAGTTCTTAAAGAAAATTTACAAAAAAGCAGAAACCACAGAGAGTTTCATCGTAGAAGAAAACAACGATGAAACCAATGGCACCTCACGACAACCTGAGAACACAGTACATGAGGTAGGCCTAACTACTGCAAGAAAGGAAAAGGCTCTTCCTAGTCAACTACGAAGGAAACACAAAAAAATGGACGAAGTAGATTTGCAGATTGTAAAAGCTTTGGACAAAACAGAGCCTGAGATACTGAACCCCCAAATGTCCTTCTATCACAGTCTACTGCCGCATACAGAGAATTTTAATAGTGATGAGTGGCTCCAATTCCAAATGGAGGTTGTTCGGGTCATTTCCAATATTAAGAATCAAAAGGTTCCAGCTCCTCACTACCAAGGGTACATACACAATCCTCTTCGCAGCAACATTGCCAACCAACGCTATACCATCCCCAACCGTAGTCCTTTCCACAGCCACTTCAACAACCTTTTCCTAGCGTTCAACATTACTCACAACCTCCACATCTCCGACCTTACGACCCACCATCAATTCCCTCAATTTCCAAACAAAATGCACTACCTATTCCACCATCCCAACCAAATCAAATTACAACTCTGGATTCGTACCCCTCACAACCTTCACTTCTTCTTCCACATCACGACCCATCCCCGTCTCTCGTAATAAAAGATAAAATTAAAAAAACTACAGCAGCTGAACATTTTGCTGAGTGCGTTGGTGAAGAAGATTGTGAAAGATGTTTGTCAGCAAGTTCCTTAAATTCAGGCAGCACAATGGACATCAATTTCTAATTATGTGTATATTTGTGAATATAAAGTGTTTTTGTGGACATAAAGCGTAGGTGTTTCGAATAGTATATTAATATAGTTGAATGTTTTTTCAAAATTATAT